GGACGGGGGGGGGGGGGGCGTGGGCGGGGCAGCCTGTGCTGCCTGCTGCCCTGCTGGCCTGCCCACCCTCCTGCCTGCTGCTCCCGGCTGCCCTGGCCGCTGCCCTGCCCCTTGGATCCCGCTGCGTCAGCCCACACCGCCACAACACACATGCTTCCTTCCCCCCGCTGCAGCGTCCCCTTTGAGTACAACCGCTGCTCCGCCGCCGCAGCGATGTGGGGCCTGTGCAAGTGTGCGGCGGGGCGGGGCGAGGTGCGCAGGGGCGGCGGCGTGCGCCTGCTCAAGCTGATGGCGCTGCAGGCGGAGGCGGGCGGGGAGCAGCCGGGTGAGGCCGCCGCCTGCATGCCTGCGCCACATGCCGCCCGCCGCCAGTTCCCTGGCCTTGGCAGCACATGTGCCAGGCCAGGCGCTGAGAGGCGGCGACCGGGTGCATGCGGGCTGCGAGCGCTCAGGGGGCGGGGCGTCCCCTGCCGGCAACAAAGCGTGTTGGCGCGCCGCCCACAGCAGCACACAAATGCTGCATGTGCCGGCTGCAGGGCCCCTTGGCGAGAAGCTGGTGCGCTTTGACAAGCGGGACGCGTCGGGCTGCCTGCTGGCGCTGCGCCTCACAGAGGATGAGGCGGCGGAGGAGCCGGCGGTCAGCATACCACAGCTGAGGCGGTGGAACCACTGCTCCCATGCCTGGCTGCTGGGCAGGGTGGCTGAGCCCACGGAAGGCTACAGCGAGGACGAGCAGGCGGCGCTGCTGCCCCTGCTTGCCACGGGCGAGGAGCAGGACGAAACCGACGAGGAGGATTGGGAGGATGGCGCAGAGGAGGAGGAGGAGGGGGGGGAGGGGGCGGGAGCAGAGTAGGGTGGCAATGTAGAGGCACGCCAGTGACTGTCGCCCACCACCTAGGAGGCAGCGGCGGCGGCGGCGGCGGCGGGGCGAGGCGGGTGCTGGCGGCGGCGGCTGAGGCTTTCACTGCAGTGATTCTGTCCACACTGAAAAAGGTTGTAAATGCCTAAGTATGCAACAGCGCCACCAGGCCACGATTCCATGCTGGGCGCGAACTCCTCAGCGCGCCCTGGTCGGACCGTACAGCCAGCTCTCCTGGCGGTCTCGGCCGTCTCATTCTGCCCTGCATTCGCTCCTCCTGATCGCTCCCGGCATCCAGCGGGGCAGGGGAAGGCGTGCGGTAGAAGTGCGTGCGGCTGGGGTTCAGTGCAGGGGCTTCTGAAGCCGCCCAGGAAGAGTGCAGTGCCGCTGTGTGCGGTGAAGATCGCCGTAGCAACGCCTGTCGGTCCGTGGAGTCGAGGTAAGGGCGGGGGCACCCCCACCGCTGCCGCCTCCCTGTTCCGAGTTGCGGGCCTCCCACCGCCCCCCTGCATGCTTTGATAGCTGTGGGGGTGGATGGAGCATGCCGGGTGCTGCCATGGGCTGCCTGGGAGAGCGGAGGGTGTGCTCGCGAGACGTGAGGGCTGCAGCCAGCTTGCAGCGCCGGTGCGCGTCCCCCGACACTCCTCTGCCCATGGGATCACTTGCCGGAAGCCGTGGAGGCCGCCAACGTCGCAGGGCGGCCAGGTCTTTGCTGCAGGTCGTCATGGCAGGCAGGGAGGCAGCCGAGAGGGAGGTGGCTTTCCACATGGATAGCGACGAGGAGGAGCGCGTGGAGGAAGAGCAGATGGACAGCGAGGATGAGGAGGTGCGCACCGCACGGCGGCCGCCGGGGCGTTGCCCGCCGGCGCCCTGGGTGGCTGGCCGCGCTTGGCGGCGGCCGCCCATGCGCCGTGCCCGCGCGGATGGCGCGGCTCCCACCTGCGCACTGCAAATGCCATCCCGTGCCCTGCACCTCTTGGCTTCGGCCCTGCCTGCCTGCAGCCCATGATGCTGGGGCGGGCGCGCCAGGGCGCCAACGCCAATCGCCTGCCGCTGCACCACTTCCTGCGCCTGATTGCTGGGGGGCGCATGATGGAGCATGGTGAGGCGGGGCAGGGGTGGAGGAGGGGGCCCCGCCTCGTTCTACATTGCACCCCGCATCACACCTCGTGCCTGGAAATGCCCGCTGCGCCATGCCTGCCTGCCTGCCGCGCGGCTTGAATGCCGCCGCCGTCGCCGCCGCCGCGCTCCTTGCCTATGGTGCGCAGGCGCGGCTGCCACAAACGAGGACTTGGTGCAGAACCTGAGGAGGGGCGGCGTGATCCAGAGGCAAGCCGCGGCTGAAACCTCCGACCCCTGCTGGAGCCCATCATGGCCGCCGCGCCTTGCTGTGCCGCACCCGGCACTCGCTGCCAGCCCAGCCCACCGCTCCCGCCCCGAACCCTGCCTCCCCGCCTGCCGCCCCTGCCCCGTGCCCCTCCCCGCCTGCAGCGACCGCGTGCGGTGCGCGCTGCAGCTGTGCGCGCGCGACCTGTTTGTGCCGGCGGAGCACCGCGAGGAGGCGCTGGTGGATGCGCCCATCCGCGTGGAGCGCCTCGACTTCAACATCTCCGCACCCCACATGCACGCCACCTGCCTGGAGGCGCTGCAGCTGCAGCCGGGGCACAAGGTGCGCGGGCGGCGGCGGCGGCGGCGGCAGCAGCGCAGGCTGGCCAGCTCTGCCTGCCATCGCGTCGCACCTGCTCGCTCCCCCGTATGGCGCACGCCCTGCGTTGCCGCCGGCCCCACCCACCACCCCCCTGCCGCCGCCGCCGCCTGCAGCTCCTGGATGTGGGCAGCGGGTGCGGCGTGCTGACGGCGTGCGGCGCCTACCTGGTGGGGCGCCAGGGCATGTCGGTGGGGTTTGATGTGCGGCGCGAGTGCATCCAGATGGGCAGGGACGCGGTGCGCCGACTGGCGGCCTCCAGCCCAGAGTGAGCGGGGCCAGGTGGAGGGGAGCCGCACGCCGGCTCTGGGTGGCTGGCGACCGCCTGCCTGGAGTGCTGCCCGCTCGGCTGGGAGAGATGCCACGCGTCGCCCCGTGCTGGCCCGACCCGCCCCCTGCGTGCGCCTGCCCGTGCCTCTCCACGTGCCTCCCCACCTGCTGCATTGCAGGTATGCCTCCGCCGCCTGCGCCGCGCGCTTTGAGCTGCAGAACATCTTCATGCCCGCCGCCCGCTGGCTGGGCCAGTTTGACCGCGTGCACGTGGGCGCGTCGTGCCCCCCCGACCGCCTGGCCCCGCTGCTGGCCCTGCTGCGGCCCGAGGGAGGGCTGGTGGTGGTGCCGGTGGCTCCCAACGACCTGCGCGTCATCACCAAGAAGGCCAGCGGCGCGATCACGCAAAAGGTAGTGGCGCGGGCGTGCCTGCGCTGCCAGGGACAGGCGGCCTGCCCTACCCCTGTCACCCCCTCCACCACACACGCACAGACACACACACACACACACTCAGACACATCCGCATGCGCGTGCGTGCAGGTGATCAGCCAGGTGCGGTTCAGCGAGCTGGAGGTGCCCACTGATGCTGAGGTGCTGCTGGCCACGCTGCGCGGCGAGCGGCGCCAGCGCACCGCGCCCTCCCACCACCCCTCCACCTACGCCGAGGACGTGGCGGCCATCGTGGGCGGCGCCTACGCGTCCGCCACGCCCGCCGGCTCCTACGGCGACGCCTGCGGCGCCTTCATGCCCTCCACCTCGCCCTCGGCAGGCACGCGCCGCCGCAGGCCGCGCCGCCTCTCGCTGCACTAGCTGAGCGGCCCGCCACTCTGGCCCTGCGCCCCTAGCGACAAGTGTTGCAAGCACCCAGCCCTCACTCTCCCCCTCTCCCCGTCGCTCACCGCCCACGCCTGCCCCCCTCTGCCCCCCCCCCCCCCCCCCTCCTGCAGTGATCGACGGCCTGCCTGCCACGCCGAACGCTCCTGCCGGCGACCGCTCCTGGCCCCACCGCCTCACCAAGCTCTTCTCCTCCTGCTCCTCAGGCAGCGCCAGCACCGACTGTGCCATGGAGGCGGCCGCCGCCTGCAGCAGCGCCGGCGGCAGCGAGTCGGGGCATGCGTCGCCGCCCGACACGCCCTGCCCGTTGCGCCTCACTTCAGAGGAGCTGGGCCCGCCAGACTGTGTGCTGGAGGGCGGGGGGTGGACCATCCCGGCGCACAGGTGGATGTGTGGGCATGGGGGGCCCGCGGGCTGGAGGTGCCGGCAGGGCAGGCCGCCGCCGGCGGCCAGCCATCGTGGAGCATGCGCCGTGCCGCCAGCCAGCAATGCACCTGGCCTGCCTGCGCCCCGGCCCGGCCCATCGCCCAGCTGCCGAGCCCACCTCCCACTCCGCCCGCCTACCCGTCCCCCCTTCCCCCGCCGCAGGTCTGTGCTGCGCCAGCGGTGCGACCACTTCCGCGCGAGGTGCGGCGCGGGGTGGGCCGACGCCAGCGCCGACCGCGTGCGCGTGCCAGACCACTTCAGCAAGCAGGCGGTGGCAGCCTTCCTGCACTACGTGTACAACGGTGGGTGCCCAGCAGGGTGTGTGTGCGTGTGTCTGTCTGTGGGGGCCCTGGCCGGCAGCCGTAGCTGCCGCTGGAGTGCCTTGGGCCGAGCCTGGGGCAGCAGCGAGCGGCTGTGTTGCGGGCCGCGCCGGTGCCGCGGCTTCCTGTGCCGTGCCATCGATCCCGACCTGCTCCCACCGCCCTTTTCCGCCCCGCCCCGCCTGCCCGCCCGCAGACAGCATGGAGGGGTGCAGCGACCCTCAGGAGGCGATTGGGGTGCTGCACGTCGCTCTCTACTACTCTTGCCCCCGCCTGGTGCACCTGTGCGAGCTGCGCCTGGCGCAGCTGCTGCGCGGCGG